TTGTTCCTGATCTTAGTGGAAAAGCTTTTAGTTTTTGCCCATTGAGTATGATATTGGCTGTAGGTCTCTCGTATATGACCTTTATTATATTGAGGAATGCTCTCTGTATTCCCACTTTGCTGAGTGTTTTTATCATAAATGGGTGTTGTACCTTATTGAAAGCTTTTTCCGCATCTATTGATATGATCATGTGGTTTTTGTCTTTCTTTTTGTGTATGTTATGGATTACATTTAGTGATCTGCGAATACTGAACCATCCTTGCATCCCTGGGATGAATCCCACTTGGTCATGGTGTATGATCTTTTGGATATATTGTTGGATGCGATTTGCCAATATTTTGTTGAGGATTTTAGCGTCTATGTTCATCAGCAATATTGGCCTAAAGTTTTCTTTCTTTGTTGTGTCTCTATCTGGTTTTGGAATTAGGATGATGCTGGCTTCATAAAAAGAATTTGGGAGTTTTCCATCCTTCTGGATTTTTTGGAATAGTCTGTTAAGAATAGGGGTTAGCTCTTTCTTAAATGCTTTGTAGAATTCTCCTGTGAAACCATCTGGTCCAGGGCTTTTGTGTGATGGGAGTTTTTTGATTACTGCTTCAATTTCTTTTGCTGTTATTGGTCTGTTCAGGTTTTCTGTTTCTTTTTCATTGAGTTTTGGAAGATTATATTTTTCTAGAAATGTGTCCATTTCCCCTAGGTTTTCAAATTTCTTGGCATACAGTTCTTCATAGTAATTTCTTACAATCCCTTCTATTTCTGTGGTATTAGTTGTAACCTCTCCTCTTTCATTTCTGATTGTGTTTGAGTCCTTTCTCTTCTTTTCTTGATGAGCCTACTTAAAGACTTGTCTATTTTGTTTATCTTTTCAAAGAACCAACTCCTGGATTCATTGATCCTTAGGATTGTGCTTTTAGTTTATGTCATTTAGTTCTGCTCTAATCTTGGTTATTTCCTTCCTTCTGCTGGTTCTGGGATGTCCTTGTTGTTGTTCCTGAGCTCTTGCAGGCATAGGGTTATGTTGTTTGTTTGAAATGTTTCTGTCTTGTTTAGGTAGGCCTGTATTGCTATAAACTTCCCTCTCAGGACTGCCTTCACTGTGTCCCATAAGTTTTGGGTTGTTGTGAGATAGTTTTCATTTGTTTCCAGAAACGTTTTGATTTCTTCCCTAATTTCATTCTTGACCCATTCATTGTTTAATAGCATACCATTCAGTCTCCATGATTTTGGGTGCTTTGGGTTTCTTCCTTTGGGGCTGGTTTCCAATTTCAGTCCCTTGTGGTCAGAGAAAATGCTTGGTATGATTTCAATTTTCTTGAATTTTTTGAGGCTCATTTTGTGTCCTATCATGTGGTCTATTTTTTGAAAATGTTCCATGTGCATTTGAAAAGAATGTGTATTTAGCTTCTTTGGGATGAAGGGCTATATATATATCAGTTAAGTCCATTTCCTCTAGGGTGTTGTTTAATGCCACAATATCTTTGTTGATAATTTATTTGGAAGATCTGTCCATTTTTGATAGTGGGATGTTAAAATCCCCTACTATAATTGTGTTGCTGTCAATATCTTTCTTGAAGTGCTCTAAGATTTTCTTTATATATTTGGGTGCCCGTATGTTTGGTGCATATATATTTACAATGTTAATATCTTCTTGGTGGATTCTTCCCTTGAGTATTATGAAGTGACCTTCTGCGTCTCTCTTTATGGCCCTCTTTTTGAAGTCTATTTTGTCTGATATGAGAATTGCTACCCCAGCTTTTTTTCTTGTCCGTTTGTGTGGTAAATTTGTTTCCAGCCTTTCACTTTTAGTCTGTGACGGTCTTTTGTCCTGAGGTGGGTCTCTTGAAGGCAGCATATGTGTGGGTCATGCTTTCTTATCCATGCAGCTATTCTGTGTCTTTTGATTGGAGCATTTAATCCATTTACATTTAAGGTTATTATTGATAGGTACTTATTCATTGCCATTTTTGTACCTGTGTTCCTCTCTGTCTCTCACTTTTCCTTCCTTTCCTTAAAGCAGTCCTTTTAGTATTTCTTGTAGAGCTGGTTTGGTGGAGGCATATTCTTTGAGACTTCTTTTCTCTTGGAAGCTCTTTATTTGGCCTTCTATCTTGATTGAGAGCCTTGCTGGATAAAGTAGCCTTGGTTTTAGGCCTTTGGTTCTCATTACTTGGAATATTTCTTGCCATTCCCTTCTTGCTTGGAGTGTTTCCATTGAGAAGTCAGTAGCTAACCTTATTGGGGCTCCCTTGTATGTTACTTCTTTTTTCTCCCTTGCTGCCTTTAAGATTCTCTCTTTGTCTTGGAATTTTGCCATTTTGATGATGATGTGTCTTGAAGTGGGCCTCCTTGGGTTCCTCTTGATTGGGACTCTGTGTGATTCCTGGATTTGTGTGACTTTTTCTCTCATCAAATTAGGGAAATTTTCTCTCATTACTCTTTCAAATATGTTTTCTATTCCTTGTTCTTCTTCTACTTCTGGTATCCCTATTATTTGGATATTATTACGTTTCATATTGTCTTGTATTTCTCTTAATCCCTTTTCATTCTTTCTGAGTTTCTTTTCATTTTCCTGTTCTTTCTGTGAGATGCTTTCTATCTTGTCCTCCAGCTCGCTAATCCTATCCCCCGTCTCATCTATTCTACTTTTGAAACTTTCTACTGTGTTCTTCAATTCCTCTTGTCCCTTGCTGATAGTTTCTATTTCCTTTTTCATGTTGATATAGTTTGCAGCGAGATCATTGTAGCTCCCCTGTAGTTTTTGGTAGCTCATTGTGAGCTCTTTGAACTTCATGATAACCAGTGCTTTGAATTCACTATCTGATAGTTGATTAGGCTCTATTTTATGTAACATTCTTTCTGAAGCCTCTGCTTTTTCTTTCATTTGGGGATTGTTTCTTTGTCTTCCCATTGTTTGTGAGACTCTTCTTGTTAGCCTCAGCTTCTACAGTTGATCTGTTCTGACTCCCTGGGTTTATTTTGTGAACCTCTGTGGTATAATACCTGTGAATTTCAGTGGTGCAGACTCCTTCAGGTATCTTGATGTTCTCCGTTTCCACCTACTCCTTTTATCATGTATGTGTAATCAGTTGTAGGAGGAGACAAAATGGTTTATGACAGCAGAAGAATTTTTTATGATATTTACAGTCACTGCTGGTAGAGAGGAGATAGGCTATCTTTAGGCTAAATATTGTGTTAACCGTATTCTTCAGCCCAACTTTCTGCTTTTACGAGAGGATGGACAAAAGATAAGCCTCTTGTTGGGGAGGGAAGTCTTGTGAGTTGTAACTAGAAAGCAGTGAGGTTTCAGATGGTTAGATTTTGAGGTAAGGTGAGTGTAAGGAACAGTAAATAGGTATAGTGTGTGAGCAAATAAAGTTAATCACTACAGTGATAGAATTCAGGGACCTGTACAATGGGCTAAGATCTGGGAGATGTGTTGTGAAGTATTTACTGTTGTATAGATCAGCTATTATTTACACTAATATTAGAGCAGCACTCGTATAACAATCTCTATGTGATCTGTCTGAGTAGGGGGTATAGAGCTTTAGGTAGTGTGCTAAAGGAAAACAAGTGGCGTGGAGTTTAGAGGATTAGCAAAGCACTGTGGAGGAAAGAACAGGGGAAGCCTGTCTTATAATACAGTATAACTACTCAAGACTGAGAAGCCTATACAGAAAGAGGAGGAATACAGAGATATTATTAAAATATAAAAGAAGTGAGAATAATGAAAAAATATGCAACACCTCATGGCTTCTCTGCTATAGGAAGTTGAAATTTGTCTCTCTGTCTCTACTGTTGAGATGCCCCCTCTTTGGGTCCCATTCTGGTCCTTTCACAGTTCCTAGTTGTTTGTGTCTCTTGTGGGTAAAAGGAAATGAAACAACAAACAATCAAACAAAAAGGCAGGAGAAGGGAGGCGAAAGTGATGAGTTTAAGAGGAAAGGAAGAAGAACTAAAACAGGGAAAAAGAAAGGAGAGGAACAAAGTATAGAAAGATAAAGCAGTGATAAAATTTAAAAATATATAAGATTACTAAACAAATGCAGAAAAAAAAGTTACTAAAAAAAGGGAAAAAACAAAAAACAAAAAATAAACTAATAAACAACAACAAAAAACCAATAATAACAACAACAACAACAACAGAGAAACCCTTCCCTTGTTGGTTTCAAACTGTCCAGACTGGTTTTTCTGGTTGCAGCAGGATCTCTCTTTGGGCTGGGATGCCGGAGCATGTACACGCACCAGCCAGGCTACCAGATTGGGGTGTGGGCACCTGCACACTCACGGAGCTGCTTGTGTCCCACGGGTTCTGGTAGGGTCCTTCCCAGTCCTGTGGCGGGACTCAACCGTTTCTGTGCCTGTGTACCCTGGCCAGTTGAAGCCGGCAAGGCACTTCCCAGTCCTGTGTCGGGAACTCAGAGGCTTCTGCATCTGTGTGCACCCGCCAAGCTGTCTGGGATCCGAGAAACCAGCAAGGTGCCTCCTAGCCCTGTGGCTCGCTTTCCCCCTGGCTTGCTGCAAGGCGGGGTGGGAAGCAAGCCAAGCTGTCCTGGCAGGAGAACACCTCAGTACACTTTCAAAAAAAAAAAAAAAACAAAACTCTCCAGATAGCCTGCCTCTCAGTCCAGCCCAGTCCCCAGCGAGACCAGTGAGGCCAATGCGTCTCTCAGTTCTCCCAGGCTTGGGACCACAGAGTCTGAAGTTGAACCGGGCCCTGTGTCTTTGTAACCCTCCCTGATAATGCAAGCAGGCAAGCAGACAGGTCTCTGCCCAGTGTTGTCTAGTTTTGCTTATATGGGGAATGGGGGAGCTGCTGGCCTGTGCTGGTGGCCACTGGGGCCGCTGGGTGCTCAGGCTCCCGTGGCAGACACCTCTGGTGTTGGTCTCAGACCAATGGCTCTGGTCCTTGGCTGTAGAGGCAGCACCAGGGCCATCTGGCGAGGGGGTGCCAGCCCCTGCTGCCGCTTTGTCTTTACTCTGGTCCCCAAGACCCCACTGACCTTCTGCTTTCTGGTGTTTCAGTGTCCGTCACAATCTCTGTTTTTTTAATTTCACAAATGCTGGATAACCGATGGATTAGTGCGCTGCTTCTCTATAGATCTGCCAGGATTTTCACCCACAAGTAGGGGAGCTGGAATCCACTCCATCCTACTCCGTTGCCATCTTCCTCCCTGCCCTGTTACCTGTTATTATTGTGACAAAAAAATGGGCAAAACAAAAGGTTACACAATGAAAACTGTATTTTCCTTCTTTGCCTCATTCCCTAAAGGCAAAGTACCATAAAAAGGCTCTTGAGTATCTTTCCAGAAATACTCTATGAATTTACCATCAAGTATATTTCTATCTTCTATGCAAATGGGGTCTCACTATGCACTTTATTCTGCTTGTTGTTTTTTTGTTTTTTGTTTGTTTGTTTTTAGTCAACAGGACTTCGTGGGAAGGAATTCACTGTGAGCCTCATAGCTTACCCCTGGCCAGGACTGCAGTTTTGCATTGTATGAGTGCCACAGCATTTATTTATCTTTCCCCACATTGCACACTTAAGCAGTTTGAGTCTCACTTTTGTAACCATTGCTGCCATGAATACATTTAAAAGCAAATTTTTCATCTAATGGGCAAGTATGTATCTTTAGGATAAATTCTTAGAATTTGGATCCCTGGGTTAAAGATCTTACGTATCTTTATTTTGATAAATATTGTTAAATTTCTCTTCAAAGAAATTGTACCAATTTGCAAACTAACTACCCATGTACACAAGTGCCTCTTTCCCTTCCTCAAAATAGTATTTTAATAGATAGGATAACTGAGGAGAGCAATTACATTGAAGCACAATTATCAAACAAAAAAATACATTTTGAGATGATAATATGTTTTCTTCATTAATAATACATTAAATGACAAAATCAAGTAGCAGGTAAGAATGAATAGAAAAGGCATTTCAGCATGTCTGCCACAACTATAATGCGATATGGAAGCACATGTTGGTGACAAACTCACACTACTGATAATGATATCATAGCTTATTGTCTACATCCAGAATTGAGAGAAATGCTCAATTTCAATTGGCAGCTCATGAAGATAGAGATGTAAATTTTCTAAACAAATTTTGGACTCTGTCTTAGAGCCAGCTCTTTAAGATTAATTACAGTGAGTGGCAGCTTCTCCTCAATGCATCTGGTCAGCTCCAGGAATTGACACTTTCAGGGCAGCTATTAAAATTCATGCATTGGAATTCACCCCAGTCCAGCCTGATACAGCTTTCACTGGCCTTCTAAAATAGGAAGACAAGCCAAGAAGCCATGGGCAGGCAGAGGCAACTCTAAAGAGGCCATCCAGAGGTGCTGACTCGACTGTGTCAGAGATAGTAACAGCCCTTCCTCTTCCTCCAATACATCTGCTTTTCTACCCTGCAGGGTTTTAGAGAATATTAAATAAAATGAGACAATTTAAACACTTTTGAAAAACTTAAAGACACTCTTAATTTAGTGCTTTGTGTTAACCATTAGGAATTATTATTGTTATCTCCTCTTATGTTTAGTGCTTAGAACCTTTCTCAGATATACTGACAAGGGTGTCCTTGAGAGCCAGAGGACAGTGCTGCTCCTGTTTGGAAAATGTACAAAGCCCAGTAGGCCAGGACATGGCTTGGGTGTGGTAACATTTGCCAGCCTGGCTATTATGTTGCATCATTCTTCTCACGGAGCGAGTACTCCAACGACTAGAGAAGTTGATGGAATTTCAGGAGTAAGAAGAAAGTGATGGTAGGATGGGTCAAATCCATTATCAGAGAGCACTCTGTCACTGGAAAAATCTGTAAATCTTAAAAGTATAGAAGAAAGATTGTAAATAATTTTCTGACTATGCATCCTGTTTTAAATTTTTTTGAATGCAGGAGAAATGTTAAATTTCATTAAGTTTTACAGCTGGACTTAATATAGACATAAATCCCCTTAATGTTGGTTTCAGTCAAAAGTAAGCTGAACATTATCACTAAACTGGTACATGTGGGGGAATTATTTGAGGAAAATAAAAATAGGCACAGTTGGGAACATTCAGCTATGACCATATTAGATGAAAGTAGGTGCAATAGCAAAATTCTTTGAACTTTAATAGACTGGGCTCTTTTGCTGCTGTTTCCATACAGATGAGCTTGTTCTGAGGCAATATGGTTGCAGTTTGAGAGTCGATCTGGGGAAGCTCATTTTTCCTTGATTAGTCCATGAACATAGTGCAATTTCAGCTAATATTGTTACACAGTTCCTAGCTGGGTTATTTGGTTAAATGCCTTCAGGGAAAGTAGGAAGTCAGACTAAAGGGACAAAAGCAATCCAGTCTCCTGTTCTGAGTTCCTTTAGCTGTGGAATTACATTGTCAAGTATTCATATGCCATGCTGTACCCATGATCATAAACTCCTATTGTTGGACAAATTATTTAAGTCTTGTATGACCTGACATTTCACAAGAGACACAGTGTCTCCCTGGTGCAATTTCTCTGAGGTCTGAGCTTATATATGGCAATAATAGAAAGAACTATTTCTTGCCATGGCTCACAGACATGCTAGTACTTATATAATGCATTTGTGTGAAATTCTTTAAAAGTGTCACCTTTCAGTGGATAAGTTGCAAAACAGCACCATTCCTTCTGAGCAAATTAGAAAATGTACCCTATTCTGAGCAGACAAATGAGCAAAGGATAGTCTTCTGGGCTGACCTATTACTTAAAGCCCCACCCCAGGTGCACCTAAAGTAATATATTGTATGCCAAATGTACAATAATTGAAAAAAATAATTTTTATTGATGGTTTTCTTTGCACTAAAAAGTGTAAAATGTTTTTAGTTTACTGTAGCCCTATTTGTTTATTTTTTTTATTTTGTCTCCCTTGCCCAAGGAGATATATTACAAAAAAAAATATTGCTATAAGAAATTCTGATATTTGAACACCTATGTTTTCTTTCAGGATTGTTATGTTTTGAGTCAACATTTAAATCTTTAATCCATTTTGAGTTTATTTTTGTGCGTGATGTAAGAAAATGGTCTAGTTTCTTTTTTGTGTGTACATTTCTGTCCAATTTTCACTTATACGTGGAAACTTGTGAACAAAATAAGCTAACAAAGTGGAGACAGACTCACACATACAGAAAATAGACTGACAGCTATCAGAAGAGAGCAAATGGGGCAGGTGAGAAGGGCGAAAAGATAAAGCAAAGAAAAAGAGAAAGACTCATGGACATAGACAACAGCACAGTGATCGCCAGAGGGGAGGGTGAAACGGTGGTAAGAGGAGGCAGAAGAAGGTAATAGGAGGATAAATGGTGACAGAGGGGGCCTTGACTTGGGTGGTGAACAGACAATACAATATACAGATAATGTATTATAGAATTATACACCTGAAACCTATGTACTTTTATTAACCACTGTCACCCCCAATACATTCAGTAAAAATAAATCAAAATTTTAAAATAATAATAATATTTTAACTTTAAATAAAATAAAGCCCCCACTTAGGGCCCATGGCCTGGCGGACCCAGTGCCACCGCAGGTGCCCCCTCAGGCAGGCACCTTTCTGCAGAGAACAACCTGCAGGACTGTACATGGCAGCCCTCACTGAAAATACCACTTTCCTACTTTGTAATCTGACCACAAAGTTGCTCCTCAGGGCTCTGAATATATCTGTCCAATCATAGGAGTGGACTCCCATATTAAATGGTCACTTTGTAAACACCAAGAGCCTGGTATTGACAAAATGTTGATGCAGCACCATGTTTAAAAGTGAAAGTTGGGTGAGGCCTTATGCAGCAGACACCACGTGTGCCATACCACCTGGAAGATTACCTCTGCATGCTGAGGGCAGTTCACTGCAAACAGGTGTTGCTCTGCCAAGGGTGATGCTCTGACCATGGGAACAGATGGGACACTGCGGATGAAAAGACAGAACAGTTAGAAGGTTGATGCCCCTAGTAGCAGCCTTCAGCCAGTGCTGGGCAAGGTTCGGGGAACAACGGTGGGGCTCTCTACTGCCTCAGTGAGCACTCTAGCAGGTGAGCCCTAGTTTCTGACCGCAGGAGTGCCCGATAACCCATTGGTGATTAGTGTGAGCCCGGGAGGGGTAAACTTCAAACTCACAGCAATGTAGTGAGGATACTTAATAGCAGATTTCTTTTCAGCAGCTAGAGCCACCTAGAGAGACGGGGACATGAGACAGGTATGTCTCAGAGAAAAGGGGCTCTTCGAGAAGGAAAGGACTTGGGGAGATGCTGTAGTGTAGGTCTCAGGCTGTCAGAGGGCATCCTGGGAGCCCATGAGGCCTAGGATGTCATTCAAGGATTCACAAACTCTTTCCATAAAAGACAGTAAAAATTTTAAAAACTGTGGGCTCTGTCACAACTACTTGTCTGCTGTTGCAGTGTGAACACATCTATAGGCAATCTATAGACACAAGTGAACATGCTATGTTCCAGTAAAACTTTATTTACAAAAACAGGTGGTGGGTCAGATTTGGCCTGCAGGCATTTTTATGACTCTAGCCATGGGCAATCAAAGAAATGAAGGACACAAAAGAAGAGGTGAGAGAACACCCACGCTTCTTAGACAAAGTACATGCCAGTTTACATACATTCCTTCATTTTTATCTTCTCAGCAACCACATAGTCATGTTCTTATCATCTTCATTTTAAAGAAAAGGAAACTACATTTTCTAGAACATAAAAAAAAAATGCCAAGGCTGAACAGTCTAGGTTCAAAACCAGATCTGTATGACTTTAATGCCTTGTTTCCTTTCTCTACTAGAAGCTAATGTCTGCTGACACATTTGTCTTATGCAACCAATCAAGAAAAGTCTACTGGAACTAAAGCCATTAAATTCCAGATTTGGGGGTAAGGGTGGCAGTGTCAGATCTGGGTCTCCAGGATCTCAGAAGCTTCTCTGACAATGTAAAGACAATAGAAGCAATGGGCTTGGTGAACACTGGGTCTACCACCAGTTTTCACAGTGAGACCAGCTCTACCATCTGATGTGTGCCGTGTGTGGACCTGGCCTTTGGTGGCCACACAAGTGTAACACTTCAGGTATAGTAAGTTTAAATAAGTCCTTTGTCCTTTCCTTGGTTAGTGTGCAGGCAGGCCATCTGATGGAAAAGTGCATGGTCAAAACTATGGCAAAACTCTTAATTAAACTTTCTTTCTAAGAGCTACTCTTCTAAGAGCCTTTTTTTTTCTGGCTATGCATTCAAATATTCAGAAATTAAATTCAGAATTAACTTCCAGGGAAGCCCTTAGGTCAATTTGGATTCAGCCCAATCTTCTCATTTTCTGCGTGATAGTACAATGATAATTCAATTCTTAATGATGACTGAGTCATTCTGATCTTGAATCACCAATAATTAAACCATGTTTACTAAACATCTAGTATTATCTAAAGCAATAAAATAGATTAATGCATTTTAGGAAAAAGTTATAGAAGAGTTCAAACCAAAACAAGCTTCTGGCTTACCGTAGGATGACCAAAGTATTAAATTTACAGAGACATCACTTCCCCCCAAATGTTAATGCTAATGGCTATCTTAGAAAATTTCAGTTTGATTTGTTCCTGTACACAAATAATTTTATGGAAGACAACACTGTAATTAAAATCAATAAATGATTTTGTTTGGGCTATAAAACTATCAAAAGAGCGTTTGCAAAATATTGCTTACTGTTCTTTATTGCTATAAAACATTTTATTTTTAGTCATAAAACAAACAGCCAAATAATAACAACTGTTTGCCTTCTTTATTACTCAGTGTATACTGTTACACAAGGAATTCAGCATTAGTCATCAAATTAATTGTAAGTACAACAAAATACTTAGAGTTCCTAAGTCATCACCCATTTGAACATTCAGAGTTGAAGTTGACCCCAGACAATACATGGTCCTTCTTGCTGTAAGAGTGGTCTCAGAGTTCCTTGGGTTCTTGGCTACCAGTTCTGCTGTCAGAACTCCCTAATTCTTCCCACAAGGCCCCACCCACCTCAAGGCAAGCTATTTTCTCCAGAATCAGGAATGAACACCAAAAGGCCTCAGCCCAAACACAGGTGATAATTATGAGCCAGAAAGGTGTGCCTGGGTGGAAAGCATGTGAAACTGGTCAAGTGCTCACAAAGCAAGGAAAAAGTTGCAGAAAATTCAGATTGGATTTTTCTCTAATTGAATTTAATTTCTACATGCAAGCCTAATTGCACTGATACAGAAATTTGACCTTGGTCAACTAAGGTTTTCCTCCCACCTTCCCATCTCCAGAACTGTCCTCAATCTTCAAAGGATAAGCATAGCATCAAGGAGAGGGATCAGGGGTCTTGGTGCACACATCTCATCCTCTGTCCACCCTGGACTCCCCTGTTATATGCATCCTCATGCCTACTAGCATGTCAGTTCATGCAGATCCTTCCTGAACCCTGGATCCTCATTGTCCTGACTGCAAAACATTCTAGGCCACATAGTTCTCACTGTCATGTTCTCACTAATCAGCCTCCCAAAGAATGTTGCATTGTCCCATACAGAGGATCACAGAAATGCAAAGTGGGGCTCCCCCTAGCTCCTCACCTAAGACACCTTACAGAGCCATTTTGCAGCCTCATGTCCCTGTCCAAGGATGAATCCTAGACTTCTCTGAAGTTGGAGAACTTCAACATAGTGCCATCTCAACATAATGCCTTCCCACTCCAAGAACACAGCTCAGAAGAAAGCGACAGTGCTCAGGGCCCCTTTGAGGACCCCACAATGGCTACTCATGCTGAATTTTCTGTCCAACTCACACAAACCAGGAAATTTTAATCTCTGGAGGAAAAAATGAGGCTTAGCAATAGCCTTCCAAATCAACTGCTTAAGTTTAAACCTCAACTTCGAAACCCAAAAGAAAATGTTTTTATGTTTTCTTTTAAAAATTTTTTGAAATATTTTATTTTTATGCTTTTATAGTTGTCCCACTTTTCCCCCTTCAGCCTTCCTCCACGCAGCCCACTCCCCACTTCCATAATCAGTACCCTCATTGTTGTCCATGTCCATGTGTCCTTCATATATGTTCTTTAACTAATCCTTTCATCTTCTTTCAATCAGTCCCCACATCTCCCCTCCCCTCTTACAGCTGTCAGTCTGTTTCAAGATTCTATGCCTCTCATTCTATTTTGATCATTAGTTTATTTTGTTCATTAGATTCCTCTTATAAGTGAGATCATGATATTTGTCTTTCACCACCTGGTTTATTTTACTTAACACAATAAGCTCTAGTTCTATCCATGTTGTCACAAAACGTATAAGTTCCCTTTTTTTTTTTTTTGCTGCATAAATGCACTACGGTTTTTTGTTTGGGGGGAGTTTTTTTGTCCACTTATCTACTCATGGTCACTTAGGCTCTTCCCAAATCTTCGCTACTATAAATAGCGTGGCTATGAACATGAGGGGTACATAAATTTAAAAATATTAACTTATGTTTCTCTTGAAATTTCTACCCAAGCAAACTTTAAGAATTATCTTATCTCCAAAATTCAGTGAAATTAGGGGTAACCAAACATACTTAAGGAAAACAAATGAGTGACTATTTCAAAATAATATTCCTCAAAAGAACTGATATTCAAATATCTCATGAAAGTCAAAGAAAAAACAAGTCAAATTTGAGAGGGTCTTACAGAGACAGGGATTATAGACCAAACAGAGAATTAAATTTTTAAAGATGAATAAAAGTAGTTTGGGATCTAAGTGTAGGAAGAACAGAACTGGAGTCATGCCAATAATTACAGCCAGTGGAGACAGGAAGATGTTTTCTCTAAAAGCCAGGTGTTGAGGGAAGACCTAGATTTTAGAATAAAGGATAGATGTGTTCAAGACCCAAGATAGAATGGCTGGGCCAAATATTGAACAAAATGGTGTAGGAAAGGGGAAATGAGAAATTTTTTTTCATTGGGTACAAAATTTCTTTTACACAAATGAGTAAGTTCTAGCACTCTGCTGTGCACCATGGTCAACAACAAAGTATTGTTCAGTTTAAAATTTGTGAAAAGGATAGCTCTCATACTAAATGTTCTTACCAAAACACACATGTACACACACAAGAACACAAGGTAATTTTGGAGGTATTGGAAATGTTTAATACCTTAGTTGTGGTGATGGTATCACGGATGTATGCATATGCCCAAACTCATCAAGATATGTACACAAATGTGTGAAATTTTTGGTATATCAATTATACTAGAGTAAAGCTAAAAACTTAAGAATTAAAAAAGTCTGAACAAATTTCAGGTGACTTCTGCCCCCAAGTACAGCATTTAAATAAAGTATTTTTATAACTGTGATCATTATAACTCCTTGTCATCCAACAAATGGAAACACAAACTAATGGAATTGGTCAATTTACTCTTAAAAACATTATGCCACTATTCTATTAGGTATTCATACTACAGTGAGACACAAACTAAAGTGTTTTACCTCATAAAGCAGCAGAATTCCTGAAAATGTCTCCAGACCCATGGAATCAAGAAATGCCCAAGCTGGAATAGGCATCTAACCCAGTGCTTCCTAGCCCAGTGTATACTGTGGGCCAAGAAACCACCTGGGCTTTTTACTACAGATCTCAATACCAAAGCAGAGAAGAATGGGATAAGGAAAGAAGAGCTTCACAGAGCTCAGCAGCCCTGGCCAAACAGACAAGCAGTGGGGAAGGAATGGATTGGTCACCAAATGATGGTGGATCATCTCTCACCACAGACCAAAATAAAAGGCCAGCCAACTAAAGATCTAAATGAAAAAAATTAAAACATGAAACCACTTAAAGAGAATTTAAGTAAATTTGTGATTTCTGTGGGGAAAGACTTACAGTGGGAAAAAATGAAGGTGTTGGATTGCACAGAATTTAAATTTTTTAAAACTTATTTATTTTAATTGTTGCTCAAGTACAGTTTTCTGTCTTTTACTCCCATCCCAGCCCATCCGCCAGCCCAGTGCTCCCTACCTCCCTCCCATTTCTACCTGCCTTAGTTTTTGTCCATGTGTCCTTTATACTTGTTCCTGTAAAAACCCTTCCCCTTTTCCCCTGAAATTCCCTCCCCTCTCCCCTCTGGACACTGTCAGTCTATTCTCTATTCCAGTGTCTTAGGTTATATTTTGATCATCAGTAAATGAATGGATCCAAAATCTATGGTACATTTACACAATGGAATTCTATGCAGCAGAAAGAAAGGACTTCCTGTTACCGAACAAGAGGTCCCGGGGTGGGGAATGGAGGGGCAATACAATATTTGGCCCACCTAGGGATGCCAAATATTGCTACACAACAGGGGCCCCTCCCAAGGACATAATATTAAAATCTACTGGGCTTTTCTGTCTGCTGCCAATTGGAAAGACATCTCCCAATGTCAGAGATTTGTGAAAAGGAAACAAAATGTTTATTTACTGCTATTCGGGCCTAATGCTTCCCTTAAATATCAAAGTCCTTTAGGGTATACACCTACACCCACACAGCTCCCTTCTCCCACTGTCTCAACTTTGGGTACCGTAAATCAGGAAAAGAGCACACATCCCTTTTTCAGGCCACTGGCACCGTCAGCTGTGTCACTGTGCAGGATCTTGAGTTAATCCAAAGTACTGTGGTACCCTCTCATGGTCCACTGGCAAGAGTTCTTTGTACCCAGTTCCAGTCAAAGTCTCTCCTGCTTTTCAGGCCACGCGGCCAAAGGAAGCATCTCAAAGCCACATGGGCCTCTTCTACCAAAGTTGCAGGGGTTCTCACTCCACCAAAAGCATGTGGCTTTCTTCTTCACCTGGCTGCAGGGATCTCCATTCTGGCAAAGCTGCGTGGTTTTTCCCTTTCACCTGGGAAAGAGGGGGTCCACACCCTGCCAAAACCACGTGGCTCCCTCTTTCACCTCACCAAGAAGGGGTCCTCACTCTGCTGAAACCACGTGGCTCTCTCCTCACCTGGGCAGTTATCCCCTCATGTCTTGGAGCCCATCCTCTCCAAGCTCTCACACAGGCACTCTCACTCAGGGGTGCAGCCCCTAGTTTCATCTTGGGTCCAAGCCACTTTCTTCTCCCTGGCTCAATACTTGGCCACAGCTATTTAACATATCTATGAAGCCTGTTAAGGGTTATAGATATGTTAAATGACCATTCTAGAGGTTAGCTGCTAAACTGTTGCTATGCAAAACAGCTCTCAATGGCCCTGCTTCATTTGTCCCTTCCTCCTGGGGCGGGGGTGGGGGGGAGGGAGGGTGGTGAGGACATCTTATATGTCTCTCCAATATTCCTATACACTTTGAATTCTGGACACCATTCCAAATCCTTTTTTGGGCCCCCCCCCCTTGGCTGCACCCTGTATCATTCCTACCCTTTGCAACAGCATGGAACTGGAAAGCATTATGCTGAGTGAAATAAGCCAAGCAGTGAAAGACAAATACCATATGATCTCACCTTTAACAGGAACCTAAACAAGAATTTAAATTTCTAACAGAATACTGTAGGGTTTAAGAGTACCCACAGTTTGCAATTACATATTTATTTGTTCAATCTTGATTGACATCTGCCCCCCAGCTGGGCTATAAGTTACCCGAGAGCAGAGATATCACCACTTAATCCCCATACTTGGAAAAGTCCCTGCATATATTAGACTCTTAATGATGTGCTTTTGAAAAGTGTTTCTGCTGTAACCTTATAACAGCTCATGTAGTCCCTTTCGACACAACTGATGCAGACACCGGTTCCCCAGTGTCCGCGTCATTATGGATGAAATGAGACATTCACGCGGACTACCCAGTCCTATAGAGGAAAAGGGACAGCATGGCTTTTCTCTCAAGTGGAGCAAAAGCCTCCACCCTTGCTCCAATGAGCTTTTATTGTCTTAGTCGGCACAGTACCTGAAAATCCTCATTAGCTGTGCACAGATTCACTTTAGTTGGTTACCTTACACAGAAAACAAAGGAGAGGATGCCATCACATCACAGAAGAGGGATATTAGCAAATCAACAGGCAAAAGTGGTTGAACCAATTACACTTGTCCTTGGAAAGTTTAGCATGTTTTTTAGGAAGTTACTCTGCAGTAAATGTTGGCCACAAACCCAGGTGAGGGAGTTTTTAGCAAAAAGCAACGTTCAAAGCGGCCCAGGTACATAGCAGGCCTGATCCACCATGGGAGAACCTATCTGTGGGCGTGGGTCCTGTGCATCTCCCAGTGGGAGCTGGGCTCAGGCCACACAGAACAGTCTTCTACAACAACAGTAAATTGAGTAAGTAAATGAGTCTGATAATGCAGTCACTATTAGGAACATAAGCAGGGGTTTAACTCCCATAAGTATAAAGAAAATAAGTCTTACATCAGTCTAATGCAGGGAGCTGGGAATGAGTCTTCTTCATGAAGCAAGAAAAGTCTAGAGGCTATCTCATTTGTTACATGAGAACTAAAACATTTTGGCCATTAGTTCAAAGAAGCTGAACTTAAACCCTGGATTCCAGGTGAATCCCATTTATCCACAAGGGTTAACAACTTAAAATGGAGACCCTCCTGGAGAGAGTAGTACTCAAATTTGCTTACTCTGAGGTCCTGAAATAGAATGGGATTAGGAAACCTCAAAATGGGGGGTAAGGGGTGGGGGGAACCTCCAAGGACACACTTCAGCTCTCTCACCATTCGCAAGTGCTAGACCAGCACAGAACATTAAGCCAGCACAGCAGAAAGACTATAAATGTGAAATACCCATGTCTTGCAGCATTTTTTCTTGTCTGTGCCTCTGGCTTTACTGACCCAGTGACACCCCTTGTGTTTTTCAGAATGCCGAAGCAAGTTATGACTTCAGTAGCAACGACCCCTATCCCTACCCTCGATACACAGATGACTGGTTTAACAGGTAAACTGGGCCTAATGAGGTGTCTTTGACTTTAGGTTTGGGGGTTTATTTTGCTTTTTTTTGTTTTTAAGTCTCAAAAAACACAAGCAAAATCATCTCAATAGTTCACTAAATTGTACTATGACTTCCTATTTGTGGCTTCATTCTCTAAATTCTTGAACTTTTTAAAATATTTTAGTGCTCCTCCAGAATTATCTGCTAACAAATTGTTCTGTTGAATGAGAAACTATTTGCCACTGTATTAAAAAGAGAAGGAAATAGAAGTAATAAGAAAGCCTTTTGCAACCTACCACAAAGTGCTTTAAAACATGCTGATTTTATCTGATCGGTGGAAATGGTTGCAGAGAATATTTTTGGCCCCATGAGTCTATGTATGTATGTTTTTGAAGAGCATTTCTGCTATAATATCATGAAGTTCATGTAGTCCCTTTCAATAAAACCATAACTTCAACTGGCGGAGGTTTGAAGTATTGCTCAGCATCCAACTATGGAAAACTATTCAATAGTCTATCCATTTTCTTCAGCCTGTTTGGCTACTAAACATGTAAAAGCAGTCTCTTTCTTTCCCAAGTAACATTCTTGCCTAAATGGTTGATTACATGTAAGAAATATCAAGAAATAAAGATGTATGGCTTGCTGAGCCAAAGAATATTATATTTTATAAACTTAGTGCTTCCCTATTATCGGTGTTTCTATATAAAATTCATGAAACATGAACTTCTATTAATAGTATAAAAACATATTATGTGTACAGCACCTTACTCATTTCTTTTACTTCTTGTGACAAACTGACAGCACATAAAACAATGTTGTCATTCTCAGTTTAGTGATAAGGAAATAGATTTAAAAAAGATAAGTGACTTCTCTGGTCAAATAATTAGTATATATCAAAGCCATCATTTGAACCCAAGCTTTATAAATATCTCTAATTCCAAAGTATACCATTCTAAGTATCATTTTTATTATAAAAGACAGGAAGCATGATGACCAGACAGTGGCCAAGTAGCTTAGACTCTGTCCCTACAATTAAGTTGACCTGAGAAGGTCTAGGGTGCAGACAGGGCACACAGGTTAGAAATTTTGACAATTACAGAAAATGCATAAAAAATAAATTAAAAATACAATTCAAATTTGTAACACTTTTAAAAATTCATAGCCGCTGTCCAATAGCACCATTCACTTTCTATCAACTTTACGTACAGTTTTAAAATGATCATGCAGTGTTTGGAAGTATGTGCTTAGGGGGTAAGGATACATAAAAATGTCTAAGAACTTTTGACATGAAGTGTCTCCTTCCCTCATGACTTATAATCCTAAGTACTATAAGATGTCAAATAGATGTCACCCAGCCAGGGGTGAGCAGTAATTGGGAATGATGGTCTGGAACAGTGTGTTGAGCAGGACCATAAGGAAGTGCCTGGCTTCACTATGATTGGTTAGCCATTGTCCACTTGACCTCAGCAAGGACAGTAGTAACATGTATGCCAGTTACTTGACATCTCTCTGCAGCTAGTAGATGCTAAGTCAACTTTTGATGGAATGATTCAGGCACAAGAATGTAACTGACAGAATGATTTTCTCCCTTACCCATTTCCATAACCCAGCACAACCTTCCCCAAAGCAACTCTTTCTGTGTGGCATGATATATGAATATTCTTTTTTAAAAAAAGATAACTTCTATCTTAAATATTTTAATTTGTAATATGTTCTTGAAAGTACAGCTTTAAATTAACTAAAATCTTCTAGCTACAATGAATTATGGTCACTGTAATAAAATTTTTCATTGTCAGTGGTAAAAATTCTCAAGTGTCTAATTGCCTAAGACACAGTCATAGTGAGTCAGACAAACATGATCCTTACTTCCTAGGGAGCCAATGACTCAAGACACATTGTCTACGTTGACAATAAATGTGACTTTTTCCCTATGATCAAGTCATTTTCAAAGGTTCCCATTCATCATGACTTGTTGTTACAAAGACTAGATCATACCACAGTTTAAAGCATGGCCTCTCAAAACATCACTACTACTGTAAATAATTATAGGAGTATAGTGGGTCAAAGTTCAGGCCCACAGTTCTGGGAGGATTCATAGTCTGAAAGATTGAGTGTCCTGGAGATGATTCCTGCCTGGTACAAAGAAAATCAGAAAAAAAGCAGCCTTCCCACGAGTGTAGAATACATCTATTTAAAAAGTTCTGTGATAAAATATTTTGCCTAGTATTTTCTTCAATATAACTTAGGGTTTGGAGCAAGAGGGAAGATAAGATTGGCCATGTGTTCACTCTACTCATGTGTATCTTTGATATTTTCCATAATAAGAAGTAAATTGTAAAAGCATAGGACATAAAAAGAGTCAAAAACAGAACTGGGGCTTTAGTTTGGCATTTTTGAAACTGTTAGTTTTGTTGTGCAAGCTGCTGAAGATTTTACAATGTTATATGAGGAGCTAACAGATGCCAAAATCACCACAGGGCTAAGTGTAGCCAGAGGAGAAAACAAAAAAAAAAGCTAATGCCTTTTAAGGAGTGACTAGTTTTAAGGTACCCTTTCTGTATATTAATTCAATTAATTCTTATCATAATTCTCTGAAACAGATATTATCATTACTACCCCCATTTTGGAAACTAAAGTACAAAAAGATTAAGTTGTATGTAAGTTTACACAGCTAATAAGTAGTAGAGACAGGACTTGACACCAATGTTGAGGCCATCATATGCACTGCCTTATACTGAAAATGGTTTGGAGAGCAGCGAGAAAGGCAAAATTATCTCCAGATGAGGTAGTTGAGACTGTTTTCCTTGAGAAGGTGGCATTTAGTCTACAATTTTAATGAGGCAACAATAGATTTTTTAGACTTCCACCAAGATGGAGGCATAGGCAGATAAACTTTGCCTCCTTGCATAACCAAAAGGATGACAACAAATTAAAAAAAAAATAGAACTGCCTGAAAATCAAACTGTATGGAAGTCCAACAACAAAGGAGTTAAAGAAGAAACATCCAGACCAGTAGGAGGGGCAGAAACAGGCAGCCAGGATAGAAATTTTGGCGTGGCAAGGTGGCAGCTGAAGGACCGGGTGGTCCCACATTTGGGTGCAGATAAACCAGGAGGAACAACTGGGTAGTGAACAGACAATGGAACCCAGGGTCCAGCACTAAGAAATAAAACCTCAAAACCTCTGACTGAAAAAACCTGTGGTGGTTGAGGTGGCAGGAGAAAGTCTAAGCTTCACAGGAAAGTTCGTTGAAGAGACCCATAGGATCCTAGAACATACACAAGCTCACACACCTGGCAATCAGCACCAGAAGGGCCCAGTTTGTTTGTGGGTAGCAGCAAAAGTGACTGAAAGTCAGAGGAGAGCTGAGCAAGTGACATTGTTTCCTCTCATACTCCTTCCCCACATGCAGTGCCACAATGCAGTGATGTGGGTTGCCCTGCTCTGGGGAATACCTAAGGCTCTTTCTGCCCCTTACTACATAACAGGTGCACCCAGACAAAAAACTATGACCCAAATAGAAAGACAGATCAAAGCTCCAGAAAAAAATACAACTAAGTGATGAAGAGATAGCCAACCTCTCAGATGCACAGTTCAAAACAACGGTGATCAGGATGCTCAAAGAAATGGTCGGGTGTGGTTGCAAAATAGAGGAAGAAGTGAAGGTTATGAAAAGTGAAATAAATGAAAATGTACAAGGCACCAACATTGAAGGGAAGAAAACCAGGACTCAAATCAATGGTTTGGAGAAGAAGGAAAAATACACATTCAACCAGAACAGAATGGACAAACAAGAATTCAAAATGGGAGGTTAAGAATAGTAGAGGAAATGGAGAAGCCAAAGAACTTATATGTATGACCCAGGGACATAAACTAAGGTGGAGGAATGATGGTGGGACAGGGGATACAGGGCAGAGGGGAATAAAGGGGGAAAATGGGACAACTCTAATAGCATAATCAATAAAACATACATTTTTTAAATTAAAGTAATAGGTAGGATTGGTGGGTAGAGGCTGTTCTAAAGTGAGGGTAAAATTTAGGTATAGGAAGTAAGGCAGGAAGTGCAGACATGTTCACAAAGTGGCCTGGATAACTGGTCTGAGATTGAGAGAATGGTCATAGGGCAACATTCTAAGGAGACATCATGGAAGAGTGAGCATGAAAGGCTTGGACAGTTACTAGGAGAAAGAAGAAGAGATTCTGTGGTTGGGTAGCAAACTGGACCAGAAGCACAGACAAGGATCACCCTCCCACTGCACTCAAGGAATATTGTTCCCCAGAGGCTCCAGAAGCCTTTAGCTCAGCACTTGCCTTTGTCATGGTTCACTACCAATCCAGCATGAATGTCTGGACAGCTGTGCAACCACAAAGACATGCCATGTTCTCTTCTGGGCCTCATCTCTGTTCAGCAGACTTGGGGATCTTGATAAGGCTCATTTCACCATGATTCTGATAAAGGACTGACTGATGCTGACTGGCAATGGGCTTGCTGCTATTACTATTTCAGTCACACTGCCTGCCACAGAGGCCAGTAGGACTCAGAAGCAATAGCTGCACAGGAAAAGGTAGTAGCTCTCCATCACAGGGTTCTCAATGCTATGAAACGCACTACAGGGTGCTTTCTCAAGCAAGCAAATAAAATGTTTCCCTTGGTTGGGAAACCAAGTTCAAGAGCAGTGTGTCTCTCCTGAGATTTCCCAACATTCTAAACTATCATATCATCCCTTTTGTACTTACTTGTAAACTTTTTTCCTTCAAGTGTACATTTATTTAAAAACATATTTAAAAGTCCAGACCAAGAACTTCATGTAAAAGCAAACTTCATATATATAAAGAACTGCTTTTAGCAGATAAGTGTAGTAGAATTTCTGGCCTGGTATTTAATTTGCTTTTATGGGATTATTCCTTTATTTTTATTTTATTTAATTATTTTTCAAGTACAGTTTTCTTATTCCTTTTTAGGCAGAGCAAGTATATTTATTCTCCTGTGAACCATTTAATAATTG